GGTCAAAAAAAGAAAAAAAAAAAAAAAAAAAAAAAAAGAAAAAGCACTTGATAAAATCCAACATGATAAAAACATTCAACAAATAAGGTATGGAAGGACTATATCTTGACACAACAAAGGCCACATATGACAAACCCACAGCTAATATCATACTGAACAGACAAAAATTGGAGACTTTTCCTCTAAAAACTGGAACAAGACAAAGATGTCCATTTTCCCCACTCTTATTCAACATAGTACTGAAAGTTCTAGCCAGTATAATAAGAGAAAGCAATAAAAGACATTCAAGTCAGAAAGGATAAAGTCAAACTATCCTTACTTGCAAATGACCCGACCATATACATAGAAAACCCTAAAGACTCCACCAAAGAATAACTAGAACTAATAAATGAATTCACTATAGTGGTAGCATACAAAATCAACACACAAAAATCAGTAGCCTTCCTATAGACCAAATGAAACACCTGTAGAAGAAATCAAGAAAGTAATCCCATTCACAACAGCTACCAAAAAATTGAAATAGCTAGCAGTAAATTTAACAAAGGAGGGGAAAGGCCTCTACAATAAAAACTATAAAACACCGAAAAAAATTGAAGAGGACACAAATAATGGAAAAATATCCCATGTTCATGGGTTGGAAGAATTAACATCATCAAAATGTCCTTATTGGGCCAAGCCCATGGCGCACTCGGGAGAGTTCGGTGTTGGGAGCGCGGTGGCGCTCCCGCCGCGGGTTTGGATCCTATATAGGGATGACCGGTGTGTTCACAGCACTCACTGGCTGAGCGCGGTATGGCCGGTCTCAAAAAAAGGACAAAAAAAAAATGTCCTTATTACCCATAGCTATCTATACATTCAACAAAATTCCTATGAAAATACCAATGACATTCTTCATAGACATAGAAAAAAACTACCTTGAAGTTTTTATGGAACCACAAAAGACCTCATATATCTAAACCAATCTTGAACAAAAGGAACAAAGTTGGAAAATATTCCTATTTCAAAATAAACTATAAAGTTATAGTAACCAAAACAGCATGGTAGTGGCATAAAATCAGACATACTGACTAATGGCATAGAATAGAGAGCCCAGAAATAAATGCATACATTTACAGCCAACTAATTTTCAACAAAGTTACCAAAAATATACAATGAGGAAACAACAGCCTCTTCAATAAGTGGTGCTGGGAAAACCAGATATCCACATGCAGAAGATTAAAACTAGACCGTTATCTCTCACCATATACAAAAATCAACTCAAAATGGATCAAAGACCTAAATTTAAGACCCAAAACTCTTAAACTATTAGAAGAAAACATAAGAGAAATGCTACATGAAATGAGAGTAGGCAGTGCTTTTTTGAGCAAGATTACAAAGGCATAGGCAATTAAAGTGAGAATACAAAAATGGGACTACATCAAACTAAAAAGCTTCTGCACAGCAAGGGACACAATCAACAAAGTAAAGAGATAACCTACAGAATGAGAGAAAGTGTTCAAACTACACATCAAACAAGGAGAGAATATCTAGAATATATGTGAAACTCAAACATCTCAACAGCAGAAAAACCCCAAATAATCCAAGTAAAAGAAAGGCAATGGACTTAAATAGACATTTCTCTAAAGATACATATAAGTGGCTGACAGGCACATGAAAAATACTAAACAATACTAATCATCAGGGAAATGCAAATTAAAACCACAGTGAGATATCACCTCACTCCAGTTAGAATGGCTACTGTCAACAAGACAGAAAATAATAAATGCTGGCGAGGATGCAGAGAAAAGGGAATCCTACATTATTAGTGGGAATGTAAATCAGTATAGCCATTGTGGAATGGTTCACAGTACGAGAAATAAAAACAGATCTACCTTATAACCCAGCTGTCAGCTGTCCCACTACTGAGTATATTCCCAAAGGAAATGAAATCAATATAGCAAAAAGACACCTGTTCTTCCAAGAACACAGCAGCACTATTCACAGTAGCCAAGAGATGGAATCAACCTAAATGCCCAACAATGGATGAATGGATAAAAAACTGTGATACATATATATATAAAATGGAATACTATTCAGTTACATATATGTATTTTTTCAGCTATATATATACTCATGTACATATTTATGTATATATAAAAACTGATATCCTATCATTTGTAACAACATTGATGGAATTGGAAACCATCATGTTAAATGAAGTCAGTCAGGCACAGAAAGACAAATAGTGAATGATCTCACTCATGTGGAATCTTAAAAGAAAAAGTGGTTCTCATAGAAGAAGAGAGTAGAATAATGGTTATGGGGGGGGCGGGAAATGGTGGGCTAATGGGTACAAAACTATGCTATCCACCCTAAGTGAATCATTGTGCAGTATATGCTTGTATGTACCCCACAAATATGTACAAGTAAATGTTAAAATATTTGGAATAAAAAAAAAATTGAAAACATATGATTAAAAGGGCAATGTATCCTGTATAACAATGAGCTTTCCCACTTGCAGAGATTTTCCCAAACACTATTTAATGATGCATCTTCCACTGTGCCCATCTGAGCTCTTACCTGTGTTCACAGCTTTGATCCATTCCCACCCTTTAGGTTTTCTTGCTATTTCCACTTTGCTCTCCATACTCCAGGGCTCTTTCCCTTGCTCCAACATGGAGATAACACTCAGGTCAGGAAGAAAGATTCCTGCTTATGAAAAGAAAGGACATAATGTGCTGTGGCTTTTCCAGAATCCCAGCCCTATGATTAGGTAGGAGAGAGGACATTACACATATATCCAGAAAAGTATTTCACATATTCATCTCTTAATTCCCTCTTCCTGAATGCAGACATCTAGCTATCTTCCAAGAATGACAGAATCACAAGACAGGAGTAGAAAACTATGGAACTGGATATTCTGGCACTCTGCCATGAGAATTTATGTACACTTAAGCTCTGGAACCATCACTGCTGTTTAATGAAGGGGGCAGGACATTTGAAGAAAGGTTAAAGTCCAGATGCCAATTTTGGAGCTATTCTGTTCTGAGTCAATATAGCTTTAATGTTAGTGAAGTAGTGCAGGGGCTTGTAAGAGACACACAAGGGGAAATGTGAAGATTCACAAGGGCAGATCCTGACTTCTAGACGGAAGTTATCCTCACCCAGGGAGACTAGGTTCCTGTAGTTCTCCAACATCACGTTCTTATATAAAGCCCTCTGAGCAGAGTCCAGGCATTTCCACTCCTCCTGAGAGAATTCAATGGCCACATCCCTGAATGTCAAAGGACTCTGAAATGAAAAACACATTTCACCGAGGTCCTATGAGGAGAGTTCTTATCTTCACACAAAGAAAAGAAGAGAGTTTTAAGGACTGATATGACATACGTGTTCTCACACATTTGTGTAAACTATTTGTGAGAAAGTTATGTGTCCCTAATTTTGGATTGTTATAAATCAGTTTGGATTTCTCATTTTGTAGATAATAAAAAGAATAGAAAAATAGAAAAATCAACATAGGGTTATCTCCATATAAGTGTCAGATATGATGTTCGACACACCAAGTGATATTCATTATCTAGATGCTCTAGAACATGAGTGTTGTCTTCAGAGATGACAAGGTCCACAGTGGCTTTAAAGAAAGGTGAGAATCTAAAAATGGTAATGATTATCACAATAGCAATGACTAAAGCTTTTGAACACCTTCCCATGTGCTAGGCATTACCCCAAATGTACTAAGCTAAAAACAACACAATAGCCCATGAAAGAAAGATCTGTTCCTGTCTTCCTGAGGAGACAACGGTTTCAAAGACACTCTAAGAAACTCACCTCAGGTCAAAGAACAAAATATGGCAGAATAAGTACCTGAACCTTGAATCTGGGAATTAGAACTGAACCTATAGAAACAAACAGTTAAATAACAGATATAGTATATCCATTTGTGCCACTATAACAAAATGCCACAGACCAGGTAATTTTTGAAGAACAGAAACTAATTTCTCATGGTTCTGCCAGCCGACAAGTCCAAGATCAAGGTGACAGCAGGACTGGTGTGTGGTGAGGACTGCTCTAGGCATCCAAGACGGTGCCTTGTTGCTGTATCATCTAGAGGGGAGGAACGCTGCATCCTCACCTGGAGGAAGGGACAGAAGGGCAAAATGGGGTGAACTCCTTCTGTCAAGACTTTTATAAGGGCATCTAATCCCATTCAAAAAAAACAGAGTCTTCATGATCCAAAGAGCTCCTAAAGACCATACCTCTTAATACTGTTGCACTGGGGACTAAGTATCAATGCAAATTTTATAGGAAACAATATTCAAATCATAGCACTCCACTCCTGTTCATGAAACTCTCAAAGGCTAGGATCACTCTCCTGTGGCTCCACAGATATCGGGTCTAAGGGGTGGGCCCTACTCCCATGGTTCCATTAGTCATTGCCCTACTGGAAACTCTATGTGGTGGCCTTGCCTTTATGGCTTCACTAGGCATTGCCCTCATAGGGACTCTCTGCAGCAAGTGAACCCCTGTGGGATTTCTCTACCTGGACCCACAGGTTCTCCAAAGCAACCTTTGACATTTAGGTAGAGGTAGCCATGCCTCCACTACTTGTGCACTCCATGTGCCTACACGTGAATACCACCAAGCTTTACAGCTTGTGCCCACTAAAGTGGCAGCAAGATACACGTCTGGGCCCAAATGAGCTACAGCTGGCGTGGCCAACAAGCACTGATCCAGAATATGGGGGCAGATGAAGAGGCCACAGGCAGTGAGTCTGGAAGTCCAAAGGGTGCCCCTGGCCCCTCCCTTGAAACCACTCTTCCCTTAACACCGTGGCACTCTGGGCCTGTGATGCACATGGCAGCCTTGAAAATTTCTGAAATGCCTCTGGGGTCATTTTCCCATTATCTTGATTTATGGCAATACATACTGTAATGGATTGAATTATGTTTACCCAAAACTCACTAGAACTTGAATTGTGTCCCCCAAGTTTTATGTATTAGAAACTTAGTCCCCACTGTGCCTGTTAAGAGGGTAGGAAATCCTATTATGGTAATTGGAAGGTGGAGACTTGAGGAGGTGATTGGATTGTAGGACCATGCCATAGTGAATGGATTAAAAATGGTGGTCAGGGGCATGGTTCTGAGGGCTTTAGAAGAGGAGAGTCTCTCTGCTCTCTGCTTCCACCATCTTGCAATGTGAGACCCCTGGGTCACTGTTACCACCACCAGATGGACTTTGGACTTCCCAGGCTCAGAAACTGTAAGCAATATATTTTGTCTTCCTTATAAATCACCCAGTTCCACGTATTTTGTCATAAGCAACAAAAACAGACTAACACACATATTTATGTATATATACATTTCCCAAATCTTTTCCTTCTACTTCCTCTTTAATTATAAATTCCATCTCTAACTCATTTCTCTCTTCTCTCATTTTCCTATAAGTGGTTAAGAGAAGCCATGTAGTACCCTGAACACTGTTGAGAGAGTTCTTTTGCCAAACATCCTAGATCACCACTCCAAAATTCTGCCTTCCACAAGATTCTAGGACTTGGACATAATTCAAATGAAATATCACCTTGTTCCCATTAGGATGACTACTATCTAAAGAACAGAAAATAACAAGTGTTGGTGAGGATCTGGAGAAAGTGGAACACTTATGCATTGTTGGCAGGAATGCAAAATGATGCAGCCATTATGGAAAACAGTATGAACGTTCCTCAAAAAGTTAATAATACCATTATCATAGGATCCAGCAATCCCACTTATGGGTATATATCTAACAGAATTGAAAGCAGGATCTCGAAGAGATATTTGCAAATCCACGTTCATCACAGCATTATTCACAATAGCCAAGAAGTGGAGCAAACCAAGATGTCTGCCTATGACTGAATGGATATATAAAATGTGGCATATATACAAAGGAATATTATTCAGCCTTAAATAAAGAAGGAAATCCTATCACATTCTACAACATGAATCTCATAGATATTATGCAAACAGGAATAAACTAGTCACAAAAGGACAAACTATATGATTCCATTCATATAGAAGTATCTAAAGTGATCAAGATCATACAGACACAAAACAGAAAGAATTTCAACTAAGACTGTAGGGAGGAAAGGGCAAATTAGTGCTTAGTGGGTATAGAGTTTCAGTTTTGTTTTTTTGGTGGTTGGCCAGTGTGGGGATCCAAACCCTTGGCTTTACTGTACAGTTTAAGTTCTGCACAATGAAAAAGTTCTAGAGATCTATTTTACAACACTGTGAATATATCTTACATTACTGAACTATAAACAAACTTTACTGAAAGACATAACAAAGACATGACCAAAGACTGACAAACAATTCTTATTACAAGATGTGCTGACATAAAGACTTTTGTGATGGTAGAAATTCAGAGCCATTAAAACACACAAAAAAATGTGAAATTTCAATAAAATCTGACTGTATCCTATGGAAGGAAAAACCAACATAAGTTTGAAAATAAAAGGAAACTGAAGGAGTCTGCTAAACTATATATGAGCCTATTATGATAAATATAATCCAAAACTTTAAAATCAATCACATATCTGTCACAAGATAGACACAAAAATCCAAATTAAAAAGCAAGGTAAAGACAATTTTAAACAAGAAAACATTATATCTAAAATGAGTATACTATTCTGTAATCATGCAACGAACCAGGCCTTCCAAAGAAAGAGAAAACAAACAAAAAGAGTCATAAAAGAAAGATTTGTTTCACACTAAAAAAAATGTATAACCTAAAAAACACACCAGGGCATATAGAAAGAATTAAACTACACAATAGAAAACAGAACATACATTAGAAGAAAACTGAGCAAAGTATAAAATCTATTTTATATGTACACATCTGCAAAATAAGGAAACCCACTCAGATTCCATAGGAATTGGAAAGTGGAAATAAAAGTGTAGTCATTTTCCTCAGAATTTCAAAATGTAATAAGAATATAGTAGTAAGCTTTGCTTAAATATGGCAGATATCTCATATGATGTTTGTGGGAGAGGGAACCTTTGCAGATGGGGGAAGAAAAAGAATCTTGCCAGACCTAGCAAAATAGGAAACATTCCATCCTTGACTAACAAATTACTTTTTAATTGCCCTATGTAGAGGAACCCTCAGAGATCTGCAGTAAAGGTGGTGAGCTCAAAGGCAGCTGCTGTGGCATTATTTACACCTGTTAAAAATTGTAAAGAACCCTCATGTCTTTATCTAGAGAATGCTCCAATGAAAACAAGCTGTTTCACTTATTTAGCTTCAAATATATTATTAAAACAGACAGAACAGATTTTTCCTTAGGTCTCCTTTTCCAGAATTTACTAGGTATTTGTGCACATAAATACGTGATTTCCACGTGCAGCTTCTCTAACCCTGGTTTACAAAGAGTGACAGTGCATCCAGATGTGGCCCCTAAACATTCCCTGCTGCCCATCAGCACTGACACCACAAGGCCCATACCCCATCTCCAATCTATGTTTGCGAGTGAAGTCCTTCCCAGGACCACGCCCAGTGGAGCCTCTTCCCAACGTCCACCTCACTGGGTCACGGTGAAACAGAATGTTAAGTGGAGATGAGAAGAACTGAGGGAAGCCACAGGTGACTGTGAGCAAGCATGTCAGGCAGGATACTTCAGAGTCTGAGAAGATTAGCAAGTCCGATGCCTACATTTCAGAAAGGAAGGAGAAAGAAGAATCAATCAAGAGTATCAATTTACCTGAGTAGGAGTCATTCTTGACTCCTTTTCTTTTCTCCTCCTCCTCTTCTGGGTTTCTTCCACAGGTAACATGAGTCTTTAGAAGTCAATCCTGAAGGTCAAAAATATGCTGTTTAATGCTTAAATACAACACAACCCCTTCCTGTGCCACAACCCATTTTAAGTAAATATAATTTATTCCTCCATCACATTAAGTTTAAATAATGCAATATCTTCTATATTTTAAATATATGACAATAAGTTCAGCTAAGCCCCAGGATATACAGGCTCAGTCTTATGTGAGATGTAGAGGACTGCATGGGAATGCTTTTAGGGGAATTCGGGAAGTCACTTTTAGACATATATTTTTGGGTACATATATTTTTTAGTATATATATTAGGGTACATATTCAGAGAAAATGAAATTGATATCTCAAAGAGTTATCTGCACCACCACAATCACTGCAGCATTATTCATAAGAACCAAGATGTGGAAATGTCCTACATGCCTGTCGATGGATGAATGTTTTAAAAAAAATGTGGTATATGTAAACAATGGAATATTATTCAGCCATAAAAAGGAAATCCTGCTATTTGTGACAACGTGAATGAACCTGGAGTACATTATGCTAAGTACAATAAGGCAGACACAGAGAGACAAAATACTGTATGATCTCACTTATATATGGAATCTGAAAAAGTCCAACTACTAGCAACAAAGTAGTATGGTGGTTGCCATAGGCTAATGGGTGGGGAAAATGGAGAAAGGTTGCTCAAAGCGGACAAGCTTTCGCTCATAAAATGAAGAAGTTCTGGGGCCAGCCCGGTGGCGCACTGCTACAGTGCGCCGCTTGGGAAGCGCAGCAGCGCTCCCGCCGAGGGTTCGGATCCCATATACAGACCGGCAGCTCACTGGCTGAACGAGGGGTGGTCACAACACTGAGGGTTGCGATCCGTTGCCGGTCATGAAAAAAAGACAAAAAAAAGGAAAAAAAAAAAAAAAAAGAAGAAGTAGTTCTGAGGAAGATAAAGTACAGCATGCTGATCATAGTTAATACTGCACTGTATACTTGAAATTTGCTGAGAATACATCTTAAATGTTCTCATCACATATACAAAGGTAACAATGTGAGGTGATGGATGTGCTAATTAATCAGGCTGTAGTAATCATTTCGCAATGTATACATACATCAAACCATCATGTTGCACTCCTTAAACAGATACAATTTTTATTTCTCAATCATATGTCAATAAAGCTGGAAAACTATAAAAGTTTGAAAGATTTTTTAAAAATCTAAGAAACTATGGGTCAAAGTTTTAAAGAAATGACAATATCTGATATTTAGAAATGATGTGAGCTGATTATAGGATGCCACCAAATCTTATTTCAGAAATTATTAACTATTTACAGAAAAGTAGAAAATGAATCAACTAAAATTTACCTCAAACTTCCAGAGGAACAATGAATCAAATGTGAAGGAATTACAAAGAATAAAGTTCATTACAAAAAAACAACAAGCCTTTAATGTTCCTTTAAAGACATACCTTGTAGTAACAGTCAGTCATTTACTGCCCCATTTCTCCTCTCCCCCATCCTCTACCCTAAACCAAGAAAGAGGGTGACCCACAACTGACTGAATCAAGTCACTGTCTTCTGACAGATAAGGGACTGAAAATGGAAATTATCTTCTAATACAAACAAACACAAAATACACCAGTCTTATAATTTTATAATTCTCATTCTCAACTGCACAATTTAAATAATCCAATTTTAAATTAGATTATAAAGCCATAAGCCAATATATTACAACTATACCATCCATATCTAACGAACTCTCCACTCTTCTGGGTCCCTCCTTTTTCTTCACTACTATGTTTTCCTTCTCTCATTTTGCCTATCTTTTTTGTTTGCTTGCTTTCCTGTGTTTTCCCCCTGGGTTTCTGCTTATGTTGGTTCTTTCTCCTCTCCTGATGTTTCTCCCCTCTATTCTTTCTCTTCCACTTGTTCTGCCCCACTGTTGCTTGTTTCACCTCTTGTTGCTTTCTCCCCAATCTATCTCAAATCTCTATGTATTTCTACCTGTCTTGTGCCCCAAATTTGCTTCCCTTCTGCTCTCCCTCTTATGTTCCTTCCTTCCATGTTACATCTCTTTTGTCCCCTTTCTGGAACCCTCAAATCCCTATGCTTCCTCCCCACTGTTGCTCCCTGCACTTGCCATGTCACCCCCTACCCCGTCTCTCAGTCCCAGCTCGAAGCTGCTCTATCTGCCATGACTACAACTCTTTTTCTCTTCTTCCCTCACAGTCTGCAGTACCTCCCCCTTTATTACCCTCTCTCCTACTGCTGACCAAGGGCCCTTCTCCCTATCTTGCTCCCCTTCATTTCCCTGGAGATGCCCCTTTTCTCTAAATTCCACTATTGGCTTTTCTCCGCCTGCTGCTTTCCCGGCGTGTTCTCTTTCATCTTAGTGTCTGTATGTAAGTCCCTAAATCATCCTCCACTTTGCCATCTGTTTATGGTTCTCCCCCATTCTTCTTTTCTCTTCAGTTTTTCTATTTCTCTCCGTCGCGCTCTCTCTCCCACACATTCAGGAGGGAGATGGAATAAGATGTCCGTCTTCCGGAAGAGCACATTTTCCAGCGCGGTGGAATTTGGAATGGAAGAACACTGGACGTCACAAGACAGGCCCAAGTCACCTCCCCCAACGCAAGGTCAGGGGAAGGGGTGACTGTGAAGTGGAGGCCTGGGGAGGACACGAGGTGCTGGGGTGTGGTTTCTCAGCAGAGTGCGGGTCTGCAGAATCCCCGCACCGGGGAGAGGAAGCGAATCTTCCCGGAGCAGGGGGGGGTGGGGGACACTGCGCTCCAGGGGCAGAAAAGGGCGAGGGGTGGGGGGCCGAAATGGCCTGAATCCACTCCGCGGGTGAGGGCTTCACAAGACGCGGGGTGGGTAGAGAAGTCAGTAAAAAGTTTTAAGCAGGGAAACGACCTGAAAGGCGGGTCTATGTGATTCTAAGGGAGGAAAGCCAAGGGGACAGGGACCAGCCTCAGAGCGACTTCCCGGATTCACACGGCGAGGTCTGAGTTCACTTGGGGTGAACGGGCCGGTGCGGGGATGGTAAGGTCTGTAGCTACCCCCACATCCCGGGGATGGAAGCGCCGGGGGCTGCAAAGCACAGGTGTTATCCAGCTAGAGGGAAACTCACGCGCTACGGTGCGACCTTCGCTGCGGGTGACCTGCTTCCGGGTATGAAGGGAAGTGCGTGCCCCGGAAGAGGTTGGGCTTGGGCGGGCACCGTGGGAGGGCGGGCTTGGGGCGGGGGCGGGGTCAACAGGCAGGGGGCGTGGCCTGCTCTTCACTCGGCCTGTCGCCTAGCGGGTCTTTGCTTTAAGGTTTTTAATATTTGCGTCTATTTCCTGTAATGTGGAGCAGCGTTGCTTTGTGCTATTTTAAATTCACGTTTCAAAATGGAAGGTGAAAGCTTAAAGTTGTGGTCCGCTTATGTTGGAAACTAAGATTTTTTCTCTTTTTTTTGGCGGCTGGCTCTTTGGGGCATCGGAATCCTTGTCCTTAGCGTTATCAGCACTACGCCCCAACCAAGCGAACTAATTGGCCAGCCTGGAAACTAGGATATTTTCTTCTTAACAAGTTGAAGCAATTTAGTCAAAAGCTCTTTTTACAAGACTCTAGTCTTGCCAGTGAGGCTGAAGCTACTCACCGGTCAGGGAACTCGGATGTGGGTGAGGACTGTTGTGGGGCGGTGATTGGATCCGGGAACCTGAAAGACACTATGCCAAACAAAATAAGCCAGACACTGAAAGACAAATACTGCGTGATCTCATCAACATGTGCAATCTAGAAAAGTCGAACTCGTAGTAAGAGAGTGTAGAAGGGTGGTTACCACCGGTGGGGATGCGGGGAAAGAGGAGGTGTTGGTAAAAGAATCCAAACTTGCGGTTTTAAGATGAGTTCTGGAGACCTAATGTACAGCATGGTGACTATAGTTAAAAATAGTTACTGTCTAGGGCTGGCCAGTGGCTCACTCGGGAGAATACGGTGCTGATAACACCAAGGCCCCGGGTTCGGATCCCGTATAGGGATGGCCGGTTGGCTCGCTGGCTGAGCGTGGTGCTGACAACACCAAGTCAAAGGTTAAGATACCCTTACCGGTCATCTTAAAAAAAAAAAAAAAAAAAAAGTTACTGTCTATTTGAAATTTGCTAAAAGTAAGTCATACATCACAACAAAAAAATTTTTTAAAAGGTAACTTTTTGAAGTGATGCGTACGTTAATTAACTTGATTCTGGTAATCATTTCACCATGTTCACTTATATCAAAACATCACGTTGTACACCTTGAATATATGCAATTATACCTCACTAAAGCTGGAAAAAAAAAAAAAGATTTCACATGAATAACCTAACTCTACACCTTAAGGAACTAGACAAAATATAGTAAACCAAAAGCTAGCATGAGGAAGGAAATAGGAAAGATTAGAATAGTGATGAATAAAAGTAAAAATATTAAAAATAGAAAAAATCTGTGAAACCAAAACTTTGTTCTTAGAAAAGATCAAAAAAATCAACAATTTTCTACTCTAACAATAACAACAATAAAAACAGAAGACTCAAATTATTATAATATTCACAAATGAAAGTTAGAATTTTACTACCAAACTTACAGAAATAAAAACTATAAGAGGTTATGTTGAACAATTGTACACCGATGATTAGATATTAGATATCCTAGGTGAAATAAACAATTCCTACAAGCACATACTACAAAAAACTGCCTCAAGAATAAATAGAAAATCTGAAGAGACTGTCATAGCAAGCAAAAACATTGAATGCGTAATCAAAAAACTTTCATCAATGAAAGGCCGAGGATCAGATGGGTTCACTGCTCCAGTTGTAGCTGGACCTGTGGGCTTGGGGTTGCTACCTGTTAGATGAGTCCTGAAAGCCTCATGCTTTGCTCCTAATACTTGGCACGCACCCAGGTACCTGCACACTCTTCCACTGGTAGAACCAGACTCTGCAGCTGAGAATTGCTCCCAGCAGCTATTGTTCTACTGGAAATCCCCTCTCTCCACATCCACACCTGCTTCCAAAGGTCCCCTAGCACATCACAGCCTCTCCCAGATCCAGAATCTACTGCTACAGCCTGGTCCCTCTTTCACCCTGGGTCCCTGGACCATGTCTAGATCCTGTTTCTACCCAAGCCCATGGACCTAAACTCAAATTTCAGTTCTACCTGGAACCACAATCTTTAGCACAGTCCTTATACCAACCTGCATTATCTGCCTTATGGATCCTGGATCCCCTTCAATTCCACCTCTTCCTTCCAGTACAAACTCTAGTGCATGAGCACATGCAGGGTGCCTGGGGGCATTCCCTAGAGTGTCCTGCAGCTAGGGTAAATCTCAGCCCACACTCATCCACAGGCGTGTGCGTGTGCAGGGAGGCCGTCCTAGGCCCTGTCCGCCTGCCAAGACTCGCCTTTCCCATGCCCCAGCAACAAATGCTCGTGTTTGCACACAGGTTGCCTGGGAATGCCTGCTCCTACTGAAATCTGCACTGGCAACTGCAGACCCTGCATCCTTTCATGTGGTCCTTAGACTTTTGCTATAGCAGCCCTCTCTCCTCAAAAGCACCATCTGTCCACATTCCCTTCTTTTCTGGACCATATGCTAAATGTCAGAAACCAGCAGTATTTGTGTGGAGAGATGTGGTTGTGAGTAAAGAGCTTGGGTGTACTGATGCTTCCCTTCTGTAGCTTAGCATTAATGAAAGAGCAATGGGCTTGGAGGGGATGCTGTTGAAAGAGGGGTTGTATTCATCCATTTCTATTGCTTAGAGTACATGAAACTGGGTAATTTATAAGCAAATGAAATTTATTTCTTATAGTTTTGGAGGCCGAGAATTCCAAGGTCCAGGGAATACATCTGGTGAGGGTCTCTCTTCTGTACAGAGACTCTCTAGAACAACACAGAGTATCACATGGCCAAATCAGCTGAGCAAGAGAGGGCTAACCACCTCACTTGCCCTCCTTATCAAGCCATCAGAGCAATCCCATTACTCCACGAATGAATAAATCTGCTCAGAGGGCACAGTCCTGACTAATCATCTCTTAAAGGCCCCACCTTTCAAATACCATGATCAGATTTCCTATCCTCTTAGCACTGTTACAATCCCCTTGAGCACTGGGACTCAAGCTTCAATGAGTTTTGGGGGTATATTCAGTCCACAGCAGGGATCCTGGGAGAGAAGCATCAGCACCACCAGGGACCATATTAAAAGTGCAAACCCATGGTATCTTAGAGTGTGGAATCTGTTTCAAAAAGATCCCCAGGTGCTTTGAATGCACATTACAGTTCAGAAGCAATGTTTAGCTAAGTGGTCCTCAACACTGGCTTCCCACTTAGGGTCACCTGGAGAATTTTAAGAAACACCATCACCTGTGTCGTCCTATCTCTCCCCATCCCTATTCTGTTGGTTGGTCTGGGATAGGGACCAGCCTCAAAGTTGTTTTAATTAAATGTTCCCAGGGAATTCCAAGGTTCATAACCAAGCATTCAGGACATATTCCTGAAGGTTGACCACTGGATCTGTTTCATTGGGAGGTAACGGGTCTGCACTGCATAGATTTTGTAGGAGAGTCTCAGTTCAGCACATCCCCAATGCTGTGGCAGAACTGGTAGGTGTTTCTAGGAGTCAAATCCCCCGAAGACAGGGAAGGATAAACTCATATTATGATCTCCAGATCACAGCTCTTTGTCTAAATCCCTTCTGTGGCAAAGGACAAGGAAGGGCAGCCTTTTCTGTGTTCCTAGATTCTTCTGTCTGTGGGTAAAGAGGTGGCTAAGAAAGTTGTATTAGTTAGCTAGGGCAGCTATAACAAAGTACCACAAACTTAGTGCCTTAAATAACAGAAATTTGTTGTCTCACAGTTCTGGAGGCTAGAAGTCGAGATTAAGGTGTCAGCAGGCCATGCACTCACTAAAGGTCATATGGGAGGATCTGTTCCAGGTTGTTCTTCCAGCTTCTAGTTCCTTGTCTTGTAGCAGCATAATTCCAATCTGCCTCTGAGATATTAGCCAAAAACAGAATATAATGTACAAGTGTGTGTGAGTGTGTGTGTGTGTAGTGCAATTACAGATATAATTTTAGATATATTCTCAAATTGCGAAAGGAGAATACACATTAAATGGTGAAAATTTTTACATCTGGAGATCAAAATAGTATTGGTTGTGAGAAATTAATGAAGACTTTGACTTTGTTGTATTGTTTAAATATTTTGCAATTAAATTTGTTTCTATGCATATTACTTTTATATATATATTTTTTAACTGTGTCTTTTATTTATTTAGGTGGCTGGCTGGCACAGGAATCTGGGGATCTGAGTCCCTTGACCTCGGTGTTACAACACTGTCCTCTAACCAACTGAGCCAACCTGCCAACCTACTTTTTTATTTCCAACACAACATCTTGTCACAAACTTAGAAGTTTAACAAGACATGCATTTATTTTCTTTCATTTCTTAGTTCAAAAATCAGGGCTGACTTGGCTGGGTACTCTGAGAAGGCTGTCACAAGCTGAAATCAAAGTTTCAGCCAGCCTGTGCTCTATTCTGGACACTTAGGGGAAGAATTCACTCCAGGATCTTTTAGGTATTTTTATTTTAGTCTTGGGGCATAAAAGTTCTTTATTGCATAAAAATCCTTCATACATAAGAAAACCTTTCAAATAGATGGACTGGCACATCTTTCCAACACTAAACACTGGATACCAGTCAACAGCCTCTCCTCCCACACTCACCATGGTCACATTCTCTACGTGGTTTCCAATAGGAAAGCTGTTGTGTGGTTCAACTAAAATTTTAATTACTGTCCTCTACTGTAAATTCAATTTAAGAGGTTTTGGGGGGCATTATTAGAAATCATACATGACTGTTGTTATTTGACCATAAATGAAAGAATCAGTGAAAGAGGGAATTAATTAGTGGCCTCTGATCTGCCCCCTGCCACCTCCATCACCCCTAGCCCAATCCTTCCTCTCACTCCAATTCAATCTCTCTTGCTACATCCTTTATCCCTCCACCCTGTAAACTCTAGACATCCACTCTCAGACCTCCATGTAACCCTTCAAGCCTTCTACTGCCTCTCACCTCTATTCTGTGATATACGTGATCTCTATCCCTGTGTGACCCCTATTCTGGAAACCTCAGTTCGACCTCCTCACCTTCAGTCAGTCCTGTAAATTCCATCATCTGTATCCCCTTCCTCTTGCCCTGTTTCTATTCTCAATTCTGATAGCTCAGCCCATTCCCCATGTCCTCCTCTATGTCTCAAACCCTCAAACTCCCTGACTTCACCTTTCAAGCATCCTCATCTCCCCCATAAAACCACTGCATGTCCTGCACCCATGACCTCCAGCCCTATAATCCCTGACTCTTTCTCATGGGCTCTTTGGCTCTCTCACACCCACTGTCCTCCATGGCTCCCTCATTGCCCTGTGCCTGTTTTGCTTCCTTGCATCCCCTTTACCTCCCCCAGGCTCCACCTGCTTATCCCACATTCTGTACTTACCCTGGACCGTCCTCATCTTCAAAGATTGGCCTGCCCTATCTGTACTCACCTTCCCTCCATACCATGCTTTTGAACCCCTCTCCTGCACCGACCTTTACCCACATTTGCCCATTAACTTCCCATTCTCATTAGTGTTGTTGTTCCCTGCACCCCTTATCATTCCACATCTCAATATGCTCAATACCTCAAATTCCCTTGTTTCATTGCATCTTAAAGCTGGTATTGCACTTTAATATCTAAGCAACATTTCATACCCTTTACCTTTTATCCCTCTGCCCTCTCTCTTCCCCTGTACTCTCCAGCCTCATGGCTCCCAGCTCTCCACAAGACCATGTTATAGTCTCATGTCCTCCTTCTCCTGTGGCCTCTTTTATTTTACTTTATCGCACACCCATATACTGTCACTGTCCCAAACACTACAACATTCCCACCACGATGCCCACCTAGGAGGCAATGCTTATAGCACTTTTTAAGTGCTGGGTATTATGAATATTGCCTTTGTGGGTTGCTGCAAGGTTAGAAGGATTATAAAATGTGGAAAGGCTGCCTTACCAAGCATCTTGTATTCTGGAGATATGACTATGCTTCTGTTTAAGAACATGTTATCAACATATGCACATATGAGCATTCTTTTAGGAAAGAGGGTAACTGAGATATTGTGTGAGTGTGTATCCTTATGAGTATTTATAATTATCAGTATAAGTTTGTATGTGGTGAGTGCACGAATGTTTGTGAAGGTGTGACCAGAATTGTGTGAGTACATGAGTGATCATGTATGTGTACATGTGCATGAGGGTACGTGACTGTATATTTTAGTGTGTGAGTGTGCATGCATGTGTGTGTGTAGCGGGGGTAGTGTGGTTCTTGGTCCACTGTTATTGCTCTAACGCTAATTTGATAATTGGGGGTGGTTGGTAAGTGAGCCTGGATTAAAGTGTTTGTTTGTAGGAAAACTAAAGAATTAAATTTAATTCCTAGTTTATATTTCTTAATTAATTCCCAAAACAGTATTGCTCATTACTGAAAATTCAGGAAAAAAAAAGTGTGGAGTGTGTTGACCATTCTATGATCTTAAATTAAATAAGTAGCATTGGCTTATCTGATAGTTAAAAAAATGATAAAATCTGCCTGTCAAACCATCTGATCCAGGTTCTTTATTTATGAGGGATAGTATTAGAAACATTTCTCTTTCTTCTATGGGTATTTTTCTGCTTCTACTTTTTAACACTAATGGGGTTGATATTGGTAAAATCGACTTCCCTACAAATGTTCCATATTAGTTGATACTGAGTTGTGCAAATGAGTCCAATGATATCTAAAGTAAACTCTTGGCATCTCGTTCATTCTTACTCGCACTTAAAAAAAATTCTTCTGAGATGTTTGTGTCACTCAATTTTTTGCTGATAACTTGATGGTGCAGCTCAGGGGTGTGAAGATGAGGAAAGATTTCACTTTTGGGGAGAAGTCCTCAGCAAAGCAGAACATCCAGTGAGTCAATGCACTTTGCCAGTCTCTCATGTATCACACCTCAGCATTTCCTGCTCTCCCTCATGTGAGACTCTGTCTGACTCCTGGGGTCATGAAAAAGAAAGAGTCTGTCAGAAGTACTCTGTAGTCTCTTAAGAGATGCTAACTAGAAACTTGTAATTGCTCTTGGTAATTAGCAACGGAGGAAAAAGTTTTCAGAAACATTTTCATGTCCCCAGCCTGCCCTCCCACTGATGCTTCAGGTGAAATGATAATTGCAGTTCTTAGGGGAGATGAGGTCACAGAACCACAGACCCATATCTCGGAGTCTAGCTGCCCTCTCCCAAACCTGAACTGGCTGCCTTGACATCCACTCTGAGCCCACCATCCAGGCTGCAGGAAGAAGCTGGTGGGTATTCTGTATTTTGGTCTGAGAGTTAGAATCTGTAAGGGAAGGAGGCATGTCAGAAGTCTGGGTAAAAAGTCATATTGGAAAAAGTGATTCTTCTGGATTTGAGCTTGGCCCAGTGCCAAAGCCATACAGGAAGAAGTAATTCTGAGTCATGAACTGAGCTAGTGAGGAGAGATGGGTTCCTAGATCCAATACCCGTCTCTGATGGCTCCTAGTAGAGTGTGATCCACAATGACAGTGATTGTTGGTGTTTAATCCAAGTAATAAGGAAACCAGATTTTTGATGTGCACAGGACTGTAGTTCTGAAATCAATCCGCTGTTCAGCCTACATGACAGCAGTCACAGGCAAAATTTTCAAGTTTACTAAAGGGGTGCTGATGATATGTCCATTCTTGTAACAAAGAGTAGGATAAATCTACAAGACTCCTCTCATCCTGTACAGAAATGGTGGGACTGATAGAAGCTGCTGGAATTAAATGTTTTCTCAGTCTCCATGTATGTAAAGTGTTAAGTGGATTCAATTACTGTGTCTATTGATTATGAGAAACTTTTCTCTCTTAAAGTTAGGGAAGCAGCATTTAAGGAAAACTTTATAATGATCAGTTTCAGAGACTATCTGAAAGTCTCAAATGTATCTTGCAAAATGAGGGTCCCTCAAAAAGTTAACAGAAAGATTTGTACTTTCTTTTAATTCAGTTTTTCCATGAAGATTTCGAAGTATCCTCATATTTCCCAAGCTTTAAAATATAATATCAATCCAAATATTTATTTTAATTTATAGTGTACAATATTTTGCCCTAATATTCTATTTTGCCCATGTGTCATATATTTTACTATTTCTCACAAATAGTTCCTTATTGGTAATAACTTTATTTAATTCAGGTATTAATAAATGAGATAAGTATCCGATTTGAAGCAAGCGATAATTTTATTTCTAATATATACTACTTTATCAGACATCAGTGTTTCATGTCCCATACTTCCTGCGATTTGCACTACTGTGTTTTTGTTCCTGGGATAAAAGCAATTGAGTATTTTTGTTGCCATCCTAATATCAACCCATTCCTACATTGAGTAAATCCATCCTCCTTCTCAAGGGACAAGTACCTGTAGTATTATGCAATCTGTGCACCACATCTTACTAGAATGTGTAAAGCTTCACTTAGAATTTACATTGGCCTATTGAGTAAATTCTTATAAATAAGTGGAAACTTGTTACTACCAACATTATAAAACAAAATAGCAGCAATAAAATAAAATGACAAGGTGCAAAATCAAAATGAAATGTATAGATCTGGCGTGTTTGACGAACATAGCTAAGTAGCTTCTTAGTATTCCATGGATTAAATACAGTATTACTGTTAGCAGCACAGCCTGGTTATAATCCCCCCTCTGCCTGTACCAGGGTGTAGATTTGACCTCTCTGATCCTAGTTTCTCCTAAGGTTTATAAGGAAAGTAATAGTAGTGCTTCCTTCTTAAATGTGTGAGGAGTAAAGAAGTCACCACCTATGTGGCCTTCATAGCTATGATTTGTACATTGCAAGTGTTCTTTAAAGATTATACATTCAAGGGCCAGCCCGCGGCTCACTTGAGAGAGCGTGGTGCTGACAACACCAAGTCAGGGGTTGAGATCCCCTTACCGGTCATTTTTAAAAAAAAAAAAAAAAAAAAAAAGGTTATACATTCAATGTATGGAAGCCTCTAAATGATGAAAAAACTGTAAGTATTTTTTTTTCTACACAAGAACTGTATTTGTTGTCTTTTTTCTTTTTTTGGCGTCCGGCCCAGTGTTATAACACTGCAGTCTAACGAACTGAGTTAACTGGCCAGCCCTCTACATAAGGACTGTTGTCAAGTGGAGAATACTGGATTTCAGTTGACGTGATATGTGTAGCCCACACATCTGTTCCCATGCAGGATCCTGTAGCTCAGAAGACAAATAGTGGAAACTAACAGGATGGCCACCAGGAATGTGGCAATAGGAATGATCTTCTTGTCACAGACTGCATTTGGAATCCTGGGAAATTTCTCTCTTTTTTATCATTATCTCTTCCTTTATTTCACTGGGCACAGGTTAAGGACCACAGACTTGATCGTGGCAAACCTGCTTGTAGCAAACTCTTTTGTCATTTTGTCTAGAGGAATCCCCCATGCAATGGTATCTTTTGGATGGCAACATGTCTTTAATGATCATGAATGCAAGTTCATTTCCTACGTGCACAGACTGGGCAGAGGTGTGTCCATTGGCAGCACCTGCCTCTTGAGTGTCTTTTGGGCCATGGTTATCAGTCCCAGGAACTCCAGGTTTGCAGAGCTCAAAGTGAAAGTTCCCAAGTTTATTGGCCCCTCTATTTTCCTGTGCTGGATCCTGCAAATGCTAATAAATGCCATTTTTCCTATATACATGACTGGGAAATTGAGCAACAAAAACATCACAAACACAAAATATTTTCAATACTGTTCTTCTGTTCGTCATGATAAAACCACAGAGTCACTGCATGCAGTGTGGCTGTCATTCCTTGATGTTTTCTGTTTGGGGCTCATGCTCTGGGCCAGCAGCTCCATGGTTTTGGTCCTGCACAGGCATAAGCAGCGGGTGCAACACATTCACAGGAACAACGTCTCTCCCAGGTCCTCCCCCGAGTCCAGAGCTACCAAGACCGTCCTTCTCCTGGTGAGCACCTTTGTCTTCTTTTACAGCCTCGCCTGCATCTTTCAAGTTTGTCTGGCTCTTATTAATAAACCCAGCTGGTTCCTGATGAATAGCACCTCAATAGTCGATGGATGTTTCCCAGCTGTCAGCCCCTTTCTGCTCCTGAGCCATGACTCCAGTAATTTTAGGCTCTGCTTTGCCTGGATAAGCAATAGAAAATCCCCTAATGATTGAGGAACATGTAAATTTTGTGATTTTGCACATTGTTCAGTTGTTTGCTTACTTTTTCCCCACAGAATTGTATGTAACACTCATATCACAAGGTATTCGTGCACACTTACGTGCATGCACATACACACATTTATACATAATTGGTGTGCATTATGTGTATACATATCTACCAGATTATTATTGCTATCCATCAAGCAAAAATACTGGGAAATTGTACATAGGATATGTAAAATTTAGAGTTTCATATAATATTAATTATAACAATGACAACCTGTTTAACCAAAGTTCATTTTATCTGATATATAACTAGGCATTCTAGTTGATTAGCTGGTTAAAATACATGGAATATATTTTTTATTTATCTACTTTGATTCTTATGTCTTAGCTATATCTGTTGAGAAAATATCCAAATGAATAGAGTAGTGCAGCAATATTTGGCCTTAACAAGAGTAATTAGAGGGATGGCCAGTTAGCTCAGTTGGTTAGAGAGTGGTGCTGATAACACCAAGGTCCAGGGTTCAATCCCTGTACCAGCCAGCTGCTCCCCCAAAAGAAAAAAAAATTCAAAGAGAAAGAGTAATTAGTCTTTTTTGTTTAATATAATAATGACCATATTGGGCAAGCATTTATTAACGTATTGTGTGATCTTCCTGACATCTGTTCTATTTTCTTATCTTTCTGTGTTGATTTTTTTCTGTGTTAATTTATTTTACCCCTGTTTTTTGGGTGCTGTGTAATCACTAATGCTTAGGTTTCAACCTAGAAATCTCTGTGTACTGTTAAAAACTAATCACAATATAAAGTTATTGAATACCTTAACTCTCCACATAAACAATAAGGACATTGCATACTAATGCATTTACCTTCTTATAACTTACTTTCTAATTGCTGATGTGTATTTTAAAAGAATTTTATGCACAGGTCCTGAATACACTGCTCGACCAAATTCCACAGACTGGACACATCCGTGTATGCCTATTCTATGTCAAAAAACAGATCATTGTCCGCCTCCCAGATGCTTCCTTGTGCCCCTCCCCGTCACTATCCCCAAGAATGACCACTATTGTGACATTTAACAGCATAGATCACTTTCACCTCCTTTGTACTTTACATAAATGGAAAAATTAAGCATGAGCTCATTTGTATTTAACTTTTAAATTTTGATATGTTTGTGAATTTTGCATGTTTTTGTGTGTATATCAAACAATTTAATCCTTCATCTATTTTAGCACATGTGAGTGGTTTTCAATTTGAGGCTGTCATGAATTGCACTGGTATGTAAGTTCTGTTTTCATAAAACGTGTGAATTTCTGTTGGGTATATATGTACTAGCAGAATTGCTGTCATAGGATTACATCTATTCAGCTTTAGGAGATACTACCCACCAGCTTTACAAAGTGTTTCATTGAATTTCACACCAAAAAGAAGCTCTTAATTTTAATACAGTATCATTTGTGATGTCCTTCTTTAGGTTTAATATTTTCTGTTAAAAAGTCTTTTGCTGGGCCGGCCCGGTGGCGCACTGCTATAGTGCGCCGCTTGGGAAGCGCGGCGGCGCCCCCGCGGAGGGTTTGGATACCACCTAAAGACTGGCCGCGGCCTTGCTTGAGCAACGGGGGGGGGAACAACGCGGGTGGTTGCTCTCCCGTAGCCGGTCCCGGTCCGGTACGGGTGCGACACTGAGGGTTGCGATCCGTTGCCGGTCACGAAAAAAGACAAAAAAAAAAAAAAAAAGTCTTTTGCTAAATAATATTATAATATATACCTGAATTCAAAATTAATTTATTACCTTTGTTTCTTCTTCTTCTTTTTTTTTTTTTTTTGTCCTTTTTGAGACTGGCTGCACTGCGCTCAGCCAGTGAGCGCTGTGGGTGCACCGGTCATCCCTATATAGGACCCGAACCCGCGGTGGGAGTGCTGCTGCGCTCCCAGCGCCGCACTCTCCCGAGTGCGCCACAGGCTCGGCCTCTCCTTTGTTTCTTCTAAAAACTTCCTTTTATACCTTTAAAATTTAAATCACCAAGGCAATCAGAATCAGTTTGTTGTGTGGATAGTGATTTAAGTCTTTTTTTTTTTTTGAGTGAATAAACTTCGATTTATTCTGAAAATGTTGTATTTGACTTTCTTTTTATTTGCTCTTACCTGTCGTTGCCTCACCCAGGCTAACCTCACTTGCCCTCAGAGCTGACTTTTCTAAGTCTCCTAGTCATTCTGTGTCTTGCCTCTTTCAGTCTTTACAACCCCATTGTGTTACACAATCAAGGTTAGTCTTGGTGTCAAATTCTTCAATGGGAGGGGGTTCTGGGAAGCTGGTGAGGTAGGAAAGACCAGGATCCTTCTTCCTAATTAGGCAGCAACTGCACTAGCAGAATCTGTCTGATGTAAATATTTTTCAGCTCTTGAGTATATTGAAGGCTTGCATCTTCCAGGGAAAAGCTTGGGCAGTAAATTGTGGATCATTTCACATCTATCCATTTCTCACACCCCAAACTCATAATAGGCAGTGGTACATGTGCTTCTGGAAAAGCTAACTTTATTATTCTCAGTTTCAGAGACTATCTGTCAGATTAAAGTGTGTCTTATAATATTTCTTGTGCTTTAAAATACAATACTACACCAAGGTCAAGGGTTTGGATCCCCTTATTTGTCCAGCTACTCCTCCCCCAAATATATTATACCAATCTAAAAATGTCTTTTAACTTATACAATACAGAAGATTTTTTGCCCTAACATTCTATTTTGCATGTGTCTTATATTTTACTCTATCTCAAAAATAGTGCCTTATTGCTAATAATTGTATTTAACTCAGATAGTAATCAATAGATAAGTGATATGGGTTCAACATGTCCCTAAAATTCCATGTATTAGAAACTTAATCCCCACTATAACCATGTTAAGAGGTATGAAATCCTATTACGGTAATTGAAAGAGGTGATTAGATTGTGAGCACTGCATCCTTGTAAATGAATTGATGCATTCATGGAGCAATGGGTATGTTTCTGATGGCTTTGAAAAGAGAGCTACTGAGAAGCTTAGTCCCTCTCTTGCTCAGCCATTTTGCCATGTGATACCCTGCACTTCTGTAGGGCCACCATCAAGAACAAGGACCTTACCAGGTGTGTTCCCTGGACTTTGGACTTCTCAACTTCCGAAAGTGTAAGCAATAAATATTGTTTCTTTATAAATTACACAGTTTCAAGTATTCTGTTATAAGCAACAGAAATGGACTAAAACAATAAGTATATGATTTGAAATTAGTAATAATTTAATTGCTACCATATACTATTTTATCAGACAACAGTGTTTCATGTGCCACAGTTCCTGTGATTTCTGCCACTGTACGTTTGTTCCTGGGGTAAAAGCAAATGAGTCTTTATGCTTCCATCCTAATATCAAGCCATTCATTGATGAAATCTACCTTGTCATGGGGCAGGTCCCTGTTAGTATTATATTGCAATTGGTGCATCTACGTTTTCTAGGATCCCTAAAGCTTCATTCAGAATTTGCATTGTCATGTAGTTTTTTATGAACTTGTTACTAACAAAATTATGAAATAAAATAGCAATATAATAAAATGACAAGGTGCAGAATGAAAGCTATATTTAGATCTGGTTTGCATGAAGAGCACCACTAAATACCTTTTTATTATACCATGGATGAAATACAGTATTTTTGATAGCAGCACAACCTGCTTTAAAATCCCATGCGGCCCCCCTACTTATTAATTTAGACAAAACACTTGACCTCTCTGTGCCTTTGTTCTCCTCATCCTCATAAGGAAATTGATAGTACTGCATGACTCATACAACTCTTGGAAGCCTCTAAATGATAGAAATCCTTAAAGTAATTATTTCTACATGAAAAGTTTTGGTAAGTGGACAATACCGGATTCAGTTGACATGATAAATGTAGCCACTACCTCATATTTCCATGCAGGATCTTCCAGCTCAGAAGACAAATATCAGTCACTGAGAACTAACAGGATGGCTGCCAGGGATTTGGCAATAGGAATGATATTCCTGTCAAAGACTGTATTTGGATTCTGGGAAATTTTTCTCTTCTTTACCAATATCTCTTCCTTTCCTCCACTGAGTACTGGTTAAGGACCACAGATTTGTTTCTCAACACCCTCATATAGCCAATTTCTAAATCATTTTTCTCTACTGGAATCCTCTAGAGGATGTTGTTTTTTGATGGCAATATGTCCTCAATGATTATAACTGTAGATTTTTTTCCTATATGCACAGAGAGGGCAGGGGTGTGTCCATTGGCAGCACCTGCCTCTTAAGTATCTTCCAGGCCATTATGATATGTCCCAGGTGAGCAAAGCTCAAAGCTAAAGTTCCAAGTACATTGGACCCTCTACTTTCCTCTGCTGGATCATGCACATGCTCATGAATGTCTTTTTTTCTACACGCGACTGGAAATTAAGCAACAAAAACATCACAAATGCTTGGATCGTGTTTGATGTTCATCATAACAAAAACAGAGACTCATTGTATGCAGCATTGCTCTCATTCCCCAATGCGTTGTCTGGGACTCATGCTCAGGGCCAGCAGCTTTGTGGATTTCATCCTCTATAAGCACAAAGCAGCGGGTATGACACATTCACAGGATCAGTATCTCCCCCAGATCCTCCCCTGAGTGTAGAGCTATCAAAACCATTCTTCCCCTTGTGAGCACCTTTCTCCATTTTTACACACTCTCCTACACATTTCAAGTTTCTTCATTTCTTTTTAATAATGGCAACTGGTTCCTTTTGAATACCACTCCCGTAATTTCCGTTTGTTTTCCAACCATCAGCCGCCTTGTTCTCCTGAACCATGACTCCAGTGCATCTGAGATAGGAGGTGCTCAGTTTCCCTGGATTCAGGTTTCAAGGCACACCTCTGGGTTTCAAGCCACTCCCCAAGGTCTCAGGCCCCTCCTGTAGACCGTACCTTAGAGGAGAGTTACAGTTGCTTGTTGGATGTATTTTTTGCAACAACATGGGGAAATTGAGA